TAAACATTTCCTTAACATTCTGATAGATTTCCAATCTATGCTATTCAAAAAGTTTGATAACGCTTTCATAACGTTGTCCTTACGTTTTATATACGCTCCGATCAACGCTTCGATTACGTTTGATTAACGCTATATTTTCGCCAGGAAATGTGTACCTTACTTAACACAAAAACTTTAACCATCAGATTTTTTCATAAAAATACACAAATTTTTTAACTGTATAGTTATATTATAATAAGCTTTTACAAAATGTATCTATAGTGTAAAGCAAATATTTCGTTGGGAAAGAATTTATTCGAAATCTATGAAGATTTTTTTTAAGTATAAAGTTTCTGTAGGATTATAATTGTGTATAGTTACATATATTGCATCTCTGAGGCCAACATCCTTCAAGCCCATTCCGAGTCTCGTCTTATATAATGATTATTATCGCGACTGCCTAGACTTTCAATAGACGCTATCAGACGCGACGCGCGCCTTAACACGTGTGTATCCGAAACGTAGCGAGGCGTGTGACTGGAAAAACGGAGAAACCTGTCTATCACTTCGGGACCGCTTCTAATTTAACCTCTTTACGTACCTGCTTTTTCCTTGCTAAGCTACTAGACTGGTCAAATTAACATATTTTTGTCTCAAAAAGGGAAAAATTGTAAACAGGGCGGACGAAGTTGGAAATGGTAAAGTGGCATATGAAAAACGGAAAAACCAAAAATGCGACAACTTTAGAGTTGGGGTTTCGATGTGGGAGGGGGGGATGAAAAGGGGTGATTTGGGTATTTTTGCGATTTCCGGCGAAAGTTTAAGTCGGAGAGAAAAGTGTTCAATAGACAAGTTGTAGATCATCAGAAGATCTGAAACTTTTGTAATAATGATTTTTTCACATAACCTCAAAATATCCGAGAAAAATGCGAAAAACCGGTTTTTCGGTTTTTTATTTTTCATTTCCACAGAAAAACATTTATTTTGACGAAACTTTCTGGAAACATACCTTTTTGCCTCCTGAATATCCACAAATATTTTGGTCCCAAAAAATTCAGCGGTTTCCGAGATATTAACGTTTTTCGGAAAAATCAAAAATTTTTCAAATGAATTTCCTCCTTCAGGTTTTTATCGTAGAGACTCCTCCTATGAGGTCGGAATTTTTTCGTCCTGAATTCTACTTTTTTGTGAGATAAAAAAAGATAGTAGTCTCCATTTAAAAACATGCTCAAAAATCGAACACATCAAAAAATGACTTTTGCAACAGTCAATTTTTTTTTAAATGGTTATAATTTATCGAAATTTTTAAATAATCTTCGAAAACTCATCAACGTCATTTCCAACGCATTTTTCAGTGATCACTGATTTTCAATTCTACGTCGATAAATTCTTCGACACAAGCATACAAAGTGTAATATAGATTGGAGTTGCAGGTATGATTAATACAATTATTAATTGGATTAGGGTAAACCCGGTATATACACCGCACCTATCGAAAACGTAATTTATCAATTATTATTTACTATGTTTAAAGTAAATTAATTATATAAATAGAAACTTTGTATCATCTACTACTATAAAAAAAATATTAGAAATCTAAAATAATTTATTTTCCATATTAAAAAGTAACTTTTTCAAACCCCTGCATTTTTACCATTTATCCCATAGGGGGGGGCGGGGGGGATAATATGGCCACTCATATATAATTCATAAGAAAATCACAAATAATCTATATAAATAAGATGTAAAATGACGACGTAACTTGCATTGTTTATTAATATATGACAATTTTTATTGTTCAGAATGAAAAATGGAATACAAATAGGACTTAATACAATTTTGAAAAATAGCTTCAAATCTTTGAAAATAATCTTTAAATGTTTAAGATTTATCAACATTTATGCATTAATGCAAACTATAATTGTTAGAATTAACAAAAACTTCTTAAATAGAGCGTCTGTGCTGCGGCACAGCATCCCGCTCGCTAAAAATGCCGTATATCCCAAATAGATGGGATATATATGACAACTAATTAAACAAACAATACAGGAGCAAAGCACTTGTATTTTGCTATACAACATGCTTTACTATTCCTCTACACATATGTATTGCAAAATAACCACTAAGTCTTTTACACGCTCTATAATAATCATTTTATGTAGATTATAAATTATGATGGCACTACTTATTACAGTAAAAAATCGATTTAACTCGCAATAATTTCATTAATATTAACAGTAAAGAACTGAAATCATAACATAATACTAATATACCATAAAGGCATGTAACAAAGTAATTGACGGAAAATTATCCCCACTCCTTCTATTTTTTCTGACTTCTGCGGCGTATTTGCTGACGCGGCGTATATACCGGGTTTACCCTATATATATATAACTTAAGGACGTTCACAGGCTAATCGATTTCTATACAAAATGCTTCAAATTTTAACTACATGATATTAATATCATTATTAATATCATTATTATTATTATTTATTATTTCGTATTTTTTTCCGTATAATTCAATGATGTAATCAATTTTCGAAGATTATTTAAAAATTTCGATAAATTATAACCATTTAAAAAAAAATTGACTGTTGCAAAAGTCATTTTTTGATGCGTTCGATTTTTGAGCATGTTTTTAAATGGAGACTACTATCTTTTTTTATCTCACAAAAAAGTAGAATTCAGGACGAAAAAATTCCGACCTCATAGAAGGAGTCTCTACGATAAAAACCTGAAGGAGGAAATTCATTTGAAAAATTTTTGATTTTTCCGAAAAACGTTAATATCTCGGAAACCGCCGAATTTTTTAGGACCAAAAAATTTGTGGATATTCAGGAGGCAAAAAGGTATGTTTCCAGAAAGTTTCGTCAAAATAAATGTTTTTCTGTGGAAATGAAAAATAAAAAACCAAAAAACCGGTTTTCCGCATTTTTCTCAGATATTTTGAGGTTATGTGAAAAAATCATTATTACAAAAGTTTCAGATCTTCTGATGATCTACAACTTGTCTATGGAACACTTTTCTCTCCGACTTAAACTTTCGCCGGAAATCGCAAAAATACCCAAATCACCCCTTTTCACCCCCCCCCCCCACATCGAAACCCCAACTCTAAAGTTGTCGCATTTTTGGTTTTTCCGTTTTTCATATGCCACTGTACCATTTCCAACTTCGTCCGCCCTGTTTACAATTTTTCCCTGGTCGATGTTTAATTTGACTGGTCTATACGGTCGCAAGACCGATTTGATCAATTTACAGATGTTCGCATTTAACATACCATAAAATAATTTTATGGTATCGTCATATATCAATTGACGAATATACCAAACTTTTTATTTCTTGAGGAGAAATTATTATTATTAATGATTATGGATTATTAAGAGATTGAAAGATATTTTTCTCTATCAGCGTAGTTTGATTGAAGAATCTCATCCGACGTGAGATAGGCGTTTTCGAAAGTATCGCAGTTATATAAATGAAAGCGAGTTCTTTTTTCACGCTGCCTTTGAAATCATCGCGTTCGATGCCGTAGCTTAGAGCTATGAAAATAAATACCGACAAATCGTTTGTTTACCGAATACTTGTCGAATATTTGTTCACACTTACAGCAACATGTATGGCAAGTTTGCACAGGATTCGTGTGTACGCGAGCAAAGTGTCACTTTAGTGCGCGCGTCCAAAAGGTGAGGAATTGATTCGCGGCCAATTGAGCGTGTATTTATATCGTTCCAATTTTCTCACAGCAGTACGCTGCGATTTTCTAACTAAGCGCACTCTCGAACCTATTGCAAATAGTATCGCGCGACGACCTCGATTATTCGAATATTATTCTTTCATTACATGATTCATCGTTTTGTGATTTTTCTATGTGAATTTAGAATTATCGTTGCACGATATAACAGTGAATTCTTTTTTTAAACGAAAGGTCGTCTGTACTTGTCTCGTAGGTGCGTTTCAATAAATGGGTTATGAATGAATCTATCTGGCAACGATAAAGCATAATTTATAATATTCATGTCGTTACTCAAATAACGATTGCCCTGCATTTTGCTTGCTAGTTACTGACAACGGCCAATTATAGCTTTCACAATGCTAAAAATAAGTGTCAAGTGTACGATAACAAAGAATGTATATATAAGAGGAAAATGTTCTCTCTTTTTATCTCATACTTAAATAAATAAATAGTTATATGTCAATATGCAAATGTCTCAAAATTTGATCGTGAATTGTTGCGCGTGCAGTCTTAACTTGTGCTAATCGGCTATTTTTGTTAAGAACGTAAAATTGTATAAATTTGAATAAATTGTAATTTAAAAAAAATTCTTTAGATATGTGTATTTATAAAGAATAAAAAAAGCTACAATTGAAGGTGGATTTTGCGCGTAGAATGCTGCACGTTGTAATGACCGATCATTTGTATTTCCTGCAGCGCTGCTTCGCAATACCATGGATACGCGCAATATTATGGCCATGAGCCAATGTTATGACTCTCGTTACTATTAATGACAAGCTACATCATTAATGCGTATTTGTGTCAACTTTTTGTTTTTTCCTTTGCTTTTGTATTTTTACTTGTGTACCGTTAACCGCTATTAACGAGATAATCTCAATTATATATCGATTCGACAAAATAAAGATGATTGATTATCATAAATCCTTTAAGCAACAACCATCTGCAAAACATTATAATAGGAAAAATATATTTAGTGCAATTACATTTGACTAATAATCTGGATTATTATTTTCTTAAGAAAAAGAAAACAAAAATTAATTATCGTTTTTAATATCTGATTGATACAATTGCGTTACAAGAGATGCGAAAATTTTTTTCATTACATTTCGTGGCAATACTTAACGACATATATTATAGATAAATAAGGAAAAAATAGAATTTGAACTTTTTTAAAATTCTACTTCATTGTATATGTACATTCTATGTATATTTAATCTTTAGCGTATTTCATAGTTTCATTTTTCACAATCGCAAACTAGATTCAATTCCATCGCTTTATTTTCCAGAACGGTAATTCAACCAGCGTGCCGGCAGGTCGAGACAACGACTCGACCTCGCCTTTGCCCTTGGAGGGCAGGCACGCCGAAGAAATAGCCAACTCCACTGGCCTCAAAATGAGCAGCATGGACTCAGCAGGCAACGCCCGCGGTCCTTCCTGTAGTTTAGTCAGCTCTATTCTTCCTAGTAGCTGTCGAGGTAGTGCGGAAGCATTCGCCCGGTGTCTTAATCGACGATTGAAATCATTGGGTAACGAGAATGGTTCACCTGAACGAATCATGGATGCCGCCAAACCGTCCGAGACCTCTTGGCTACATCCTTCATCGAGCAATCGGCACGTAATTATCAATAATCAGCATCCAATCCTTCAACATCAACCACGTCATAATCCAGAATCGGATCTATTCTACGACATTGAAGTGGAAGAGGCGGAAGTAGACGGACCGGGATCGCCTCCCGAAGAAGCAACCGCCGCTGAATTGGCACATATGCTGGTGAACCCGGAGATTCTGAAGGCGAGTCATCACGACGCCTGTCATTGCTCGCCTAGCGGAACCAAGATGACATCTGGTATCACAAGTGTCCATCAAGATCCTGAGACCTATGTGTTTGCATCCCCAATAACCGGTACACCACCCGATAGTGATTCCTCAGAGATGTTTTTTGATCCAGAATCCTCGGACGCTGACAAATCGAAAGCAGAAATCTATTTTGATCCTATTAGCACTTCGGACAGTGAGGTCATGAATCTCTCTAACACTTCCGTCCCCGCGAGGACCAAGCTCGCGTTGAACGGACGCAAGCGAATGAATATGAATCCAGAACGCTGCGACGATACAACATCCGAGTCGAGTTGTTCCTTGAGAAGAAATCCTACGTCTTGCGAGAAGCGGCAAGAGGGATTGGTCTGTAGCTCGGAAGATTCATTGAATGGTAGAAGCTCTCAAGAAACGACATCGCCTAGTCATGAATCTCTATGGAGCACGTTCGACGACAGTACTGTATCGCTGCAGGATGAGAGTCCACTCAGAATTATTCAGGATTCTGTTATTCCTCGTCTCTGTTTGCCTAAATCGCATTCTGACTCTGAGTTACCGAATAATGGTATCAGCACAATAGTATTTAACAAACTTGATAGACGGGACGAGAAAGAGGAGGAGGGGGAGGAGGAGAACGTGGAATCGAATAAACATAAGATCGATGAGGTTGACGCTATCATTGGTATATATACAAAGAATGTGACGTGCGATGTTAGGAATGGTAGTCCTTTCACGACACAAAATGTCGAAAATGATAGAGATCTAACGAAAGATGATTCTTTTAATAGTACTGAAGACTTAATTAATATGATTGAGGATAAGAACAAGGAAGAATTGGATTCTGAAACAATCTCGTTAAAGAGCTTGTCTCAATTAAAAGTGGAAGAGGTTACCAGTGATACTGATACCGATCATTCATCTTATAGTAGTACCATTGATATTTCGGATGCGTTTACATTGGAATGTTCGAACGATGCAACAGTAACTGAGGAGATCTCGAGGAACGAGAAGTTAAAAATCGAAAAGAACATTGCGTTAAACGACAGCGGCGAAGAGAAGCTGTGCCTGTTACTGAAGAAACTTGGTAGCAGTTCTACCGCGAAAGAGGAAGAGGAGGAGGATTTATCGCCGGAACAAGAAACCCAAAGCGAGATGGTGGAGGAAGAGGAAGATAGACCACAACGAGTTCGAAGGTGTTCCTCACTGAAGACAGGAAAAACGCCACCGGGCACGCCGCACAGAAAGAAGATTGTCAGATTCGCGGACAAGCTTGGTCTCGATTTGGCCGATGTGAGAACGTTCTTGGATGAGATACCAAAGATACCCAACTCTGCATATAGCGACCTGATCTACGATGACATCTTTCGACCACAGGACAACGATTCAGACAACACAGCATCCATCAATGACGATTGGTGTGAACATTATCAGAATGATGGCAGGCGTAGATCTATGTCAGCGATACCCAGAAAGATCGACCGAATGCTAGTGCCGCTTTTCCAACAGCCAGGCGGTATGTCGAACTTTCTTGATATGGTGCGCGAACGTCGGGTTTGTTTGGAAAACGTGGTAGTACAGGATCCGGTAACCCTGGCGATCCAAGGTACAGTGCGCGTAATCAATCTCGATTTCCATAAGTCTGTACATGTGCGGTACACCCTCAATTCGTGGCGGAACTTTAGCGACCTGCAAGCAATCTATGTGCCTAACTCGTGTGATGGCTTCAGCGACAAATTCTCTTTTATTCTGTATTGTCACACGTTACCGGTTGGTCAGAGACTTGAGTTTGCAATCCGATTCCAATGTAAAGGTGTACAACATTGGGATAACAATGCTGGTGCCAATTACTGCTTCCAGTGTCTACCAGCCTCATCAACAACCGGATATATACCGATTACCATCGACGAATGTCGGCGCGGAAGCTGGTCGACAATGTTTTATTGATGAATCTAGAATTCTAGATTGCGCGTTTGTCCATCCGATTCGACGTAACAACGGCTTGGCTCCGGGAAAATAAGTAGACTAAAGAGGCTGTTGAAAAGGCTGATCGTGTAAACTTGCAGTACTCAACTTGGTTTTTACACATTCTTAAATAAGTGCTTTGTAACGAAGTGTATAAAATGAAACGTTCAGAATCTATTATTGTTATCTACTACTTTAGGGAGCTCTCGAAGAGTTTTTGGAATATTGTAAAAATATCAAACATTATTGAAATGATACTCTTTAGAAAGGAAAGGTAGTAGGGTAATAGCAATTTTAATTTTTTTTTAACAGACGACTATAGAACTAGTCAAACGAGTGAAAAACATTTGACTGTGGATTATGGGAACAACGATGAGAGCGCAATAATATTACGATGAATTGTTTTTCTAATAAATAGATGTAAAATTGTCCAATTATCAAACAATTTTAATGTTTTTCATTGAATTTGTTAATTGATTTAGTATCTTGGAAACAGAAAAATAACATATAAAACATACATATACTGTATATAAATATTAATAAAATGTGAAAAGTATCATATATACATACATATGTTCAGATATGGGACATTTAAGCCTGCTTTTTGGCCTACAAAATATTATTAGTTGATTATTTTCAGAAAATATTACATGATTTAATAACTTATAATAACATCACATTACTATCAAATGGACAAACACTTTTTTACTTTTTGAAGTCTGCTTTTATAAAAGTATTTTCCGAAAGATTGCGAAAATGATTTTCACCCGCCACATAGTTTGTCTTAAACTGTATTTGTTAAGCAATGGAGATTATTGAAAGCTAGAGTCCTTTTAACGAAGTAGAAAACGAATACTCATCTGAGAATTCGAAATAGTCAAATGGTCTGAATATAATTGACAGGAAACGCTAAGGATAAACAGACGGTATAAACGTTCCTATATATGGAGTATCTTCTGCAGAGTTTATGTCAAAGTTAAAGATGACAGATCATTTATTCGATCACAAGGTGGAACTATCGTGTGTGGCAGCGGTTTTATTTAGCGTTATCCAATACAACGACGATAGACGATAATAAAACGAATGCTGATATAATAATATTAGTTCTTATTAGCGATATCATACGAGTTTAGACAGCATCGTAGAGGATAGATGTTCCATGAGATATTATTATACATATCGGAATATTTGTATTTTTTTCTTTAGAATATTGTATTCCGCATTGACTGAAACGTTCGAATAAAACAATTTAAATTCAATTGTTTTTAAAAGTATATGATTAGATATATGGTAAGATGATGTTATTTAAAGATATAGGATTTTCAATTTGATATATAACAAATATTTTAATTCTTTTCAATTATTAATTCTTTTTTAATTATTTTAATTCTTTTCAATCATCTGTTCTCTTTTTCAAATATGGAATCGATTTATCTAAAAAAGAAATTAGTTTCGATATTTATATACTCGTAACATTATAAAGTAAACAAATAAATTGAAAAATTCAAGGACTCTTTTATATAACAATAATCAGTAACATTAAAAAGGGCGAAGTAAGAGTCAAATTACAATTTAAAAAATCTAAATTTGTCTGATAATTTATTCTAATATATTGCGAAGAATATCACGTAATTTTGGCGTTTCGTCCCGGCTTAAGGCCGCAGCACAGGCTCTTGTAATGTAAAGTGCATAAGAGAATCACCCAATCAGAGTCCTTCTTTTCCTCTCACTTCACGGAAGAGAAGCATTTTGATTGGTTGATTCTCTTATGCGTCATTCATTACGCGTCATGCAAGTGTGTGCTGCGGCCTTTACACTACTGGACTCATCAATAAGGCATTTTGTAGTGGAAGCCTACCTTATACGCCTTGGTAAGTTATTAAATCGAGATTCTATATAAAGAGATATACGCGTGTCTCAGCACTTACGAGCATTTGCGAATATCGATAGACCTCTGATGGCGAGTCGACGTAGTAATATTCTTCGCAATATTTATCCAAAGTAAGAAATAACGTCCTATTAATATATGTACAGGGTCCGCCACCAAAATCCGGACAAATCAAACAATTTAAAAAAAAAAAATGTTTAATAAAAAATTAAATATTACAAAAAATCCTTTTACGTGGCACTTGGGGGATCCCTATAGAGTATAATTATTCGATATATCTCCCATTAGCTTGAACGACGGCCTCTATTCTCGGTCCGAAGTGTTCGCACGCACGCTGTATTGTAGCGCTGTCCATTTCGACGAATATTGCCTCAATAGCGATCCTTAATGACGTCACATTAGGATGCCGAGATTTGTTAGTGATCCTTTCAACTACGCTCTATACGTAGTAGTCCAAAAGATTTAAATCTGTGCTGTTGGGAGATCTTGGACCGCGAGCAACTCGTCTTGTCCTGGCAGCCTCAGAGAGCATCTATCGTATATTTAATGTGTACAATTTGTATAGTAGGTCTTCCTCGGCAATTCTATGCATTGTTCACTCGCTTACACCAACAATTGATGCTAATTTTTGCAACGATTGCCCTGGGTCATCCGAAATCAGCGCTTGAGCCTTTTCAATGACTGTGGGTGTTCCCGCGGTGCGTTCTTTCGAGTGATTCTTCTTCGCTGGCATACTGGAACCTTCATTGAATTGTTCTAAAGCCGTAAATTTGGCCACAATGTCATAAACGATTGATTTCGAGAATCCAAAAAATCGAATTATTTCTATTACTGAGCGCTCAGCGCGATGGCCTTTGATGATCGCGGCTCTTCGATTATACTTCGCACTTAGTTTCAACATCGCGATCATTTTGAGAATATGACTGTTTACTAGAAGCATCAGGCTTTCTCGAAAAGCCAACAACATCCTCTGGCGGAGGCACAATATAGCGGAAAATTTCAATTGAAACTTGTCCGGATTTTGATGGCGGACCCTGTAGCCCCCCCAAATTTTTCAAACCGCAGGCTGTAATAATGCGGACTATACATTGTATGTCTTTTCAACAATTCACAGTTTTCTAGATTTAGCATTTATAGTTGCGTTTCAAGACCGAAAACTTTCGGCGCGCAATATTTGGGGAGGGGGGACTTTTCAGATTATTAGAGTTGCGTTGCAAGACCGACGTTTGTTCGGAGCGCAATTTGGGGGGACTACATATATTAATAGGACGTTATTTCTTACTTTGAATAAATATTGCGAAGAATATTACTCGCCATCAGAGGTCTATCGATATTCGAAAATTCTCGTAAGTGCTGAGACACGCGTATATCTCTTTATATAGAATCTCGATTTAATAACTTACCAAGGCGTATAAAGTAGGCTTCCACTACAATGCCTTACTGATGAGTCCAGTAGTGTAAGCCGGGACGAAACGCCAAAATTATGTGATATATTCTTCGCAATATATTAGAATAAATTATCAGAGAAATTTAGATTTTTAATTGTAATTTGACTCTTACTTCGCCCTTTTTAATGTTATTGATTATTATTGTAAAGTAAAATTTTATATAAGAGATAAAAGAATAATATATGTACAAAAACAAATAAGTTAGATATGAACTAAATGTCATTTATATTCATGTTTGCAAATATGGCATTTTTAGATAGATATTTTTATCATGGTGGCGAGATACAGTGTTTGAAAAAGGAGCGCTTTTCACTTAAAAACGTTATTTTGTACATATATTATATATATTCATGAATATCAGGTCAGGTAGCGTCAGTATTGATGGCAAGTATATCTTTTATTAATTAATTTTACCTTTTCAGCGTAAATTTATATTATGTAAATTTACAAGATAAATTTTGCAGATACTTTTTTTTTAATATAAACGCGGCTATTTTTTAAAGTTAAAGTATAAATCTTTTAATACATCTTGTCTAAAATTGTATCTCATATTTAGATGAATTTGGACTTCAGTTCTTTATACATTTAATCCTGCATTATATTTGTGATCGCGACCGATAATATAAATATTTTAGCATTTTTACAAAATTTTGTGGTTATATGTTTTTTATAGATATTTTTTTCGTATTTTAACAAATAAATTATTTCATTCATGCCCATTTCTACTAATGTAATGTAGATTAACTTTAATCTCGGTTCAATTTGCTGTTCGTCTTTTTCTAAAGTTCTAAAAATTAGAAAAAGAACAGTAAGTTAAACCGAGATTATATATAAAGTTAATCTTCACACATGGGCATTAATCGTACTTAAAAAGTATGATTAAATAATGATAACATAAGTATTAGCATAATATAACATGATTATATTATGATAATATATAATTATTATTAGTTTATCATTTTGTTATTACTACGCTGAAAACGATAAAATTGAAATTGAAATTGTAATTATAATATGTTATGCGTAATATAGTCATATAATTTTTTAATGTATCAGAGAGTATCTGTTGCTGTGAGCCTTTTATACATTTTATCTTATCTTTTCTCTGGCTGATGTTTTTTCCTGTATATTTAACCTCAGAAGTAATGACCTGTTGCATATATTATATTTTTCTTATAACATCAATTTATATGATACAAATTAGATGTCGAGTGATAGAGATGCGACCACTATTATGGAGGCATACGATATGTAAACATATGAAACTAATTAATAACCTTGTTATTAGATATGTTGTCTCTAGAATTTTTCGGCATCTGGTATATTTACAAATTTGAGCTCTTTAGTAAAATATCCTTGTATATATAAAATACATGTTAGAGTATTGAGTAAAATGAGATAATTTGGAGATAGAAAATTTGATAATTGACAATTTTTCAATCCTTTAGCTATTGAATTCTGCATATTAATAAAATTTTATAAAATTTTATAAAATTGAAAGATTAGAATACCATATTTTAAACATTTATTATTTATTGTATGTTTTGATTATTTATAAAATGTATTTAATAAGAATATATTTTATATTAAAAATACCAAATGTATTTCTTTAAAAGTTTTATATATTGTCAAGAGTACTACATGTATAAATTAAACAAAAATTATTTTTATACAATATAATCTAAAAATTAATAAAATAAAATTAA